TTAATTAAAGTATTCACATTCGAACGACGCCAGTCACCTTTGTTTAATTTACCGCCTGTTTGTTGATATGCAGTATAAGTTGCTGCATCAGGAAATTCGGTTCCATCACTATACGGATAAAAATAATCATCCATATGTATACCATCTACCCCATATCGACGAACAATATCTTCAGTAACATTAACAATAAATTGTTGAACTTCCACTGAACCGGGATCCATCCATATATATTTGTTATATGTATACGCATATTTTGGAAATCGTTTAGCCATATGATTTGATGATAATTCATAAGTTGCACCAGACATTCGACCACGATATGGGTTGAGCCAAGCATGTACTTCAATATTACGTTTATGGGCTTCAGATACAATGAATGTCAGCGGATCCCATAATGGTGATGGTGCTTTACCATGTGCACCAGTCAAATACAAACTCCATGGTTCTAATGTTGAAGCATAGAATGTATCACCAACAGGACGAATCTTTTAATTAAAAATAACATTGTTTAAGAAAGGAAAGCGTCTATTTATCCTGTTACCTGGAAAACAACAGCATTCATATTCAGTTTTTGAACTGTATTGAGAATATTGATTAATTCAGTTTGTTGTTGAGCTGGTGTCGCCGTTCTAGATGATGGCCAATCAATATTAGTTACAGTAGCAATCCAAACAGCACGAAATTCTTCCGTCATTGGCCCTAATGAAAAGCAACATTTGATATTCGCTGGTTGAGATTCACATAAACCAGATTGATATAAAGCGTTGGGACATTGATTTTGTTCAATACATTGACCAATACCGTATTGTGGATGACTATAAATATCACATGAATCTGCTTTCACTTGGGATGATGAAGAAATCGAAAAAATAAGTGAACAGAAAAAAGTGCCGGCTATCCAGATCATAACCATTTTATGTAATATAAAAATAAGGTGAAATACGATACGTTTTCTTCGTTCTATGTCATCTGCATATTTTCACAGGATAAACACACCCATTTTTCGAACTGCATAGCCAAAGAGAAAGTAATATTTTTCAAGATAAGAACTGCTTCCACTGTCTGTAATCTCGAATAAACAAGCCTGGCGGTTCTGATTAGAGATATTATATCAAAGATCATGACTCATTGCCTTATATCTTATGATTCTACAATACATATGACTAATGAAAGGAAAAACACTAAAATTCCTAAAATATACTAGAAATTCCATATTATTGCGTAAAATAATGTTATCAACATATACTCCAGTTACGGGATTATCGATACCGATACTCAGGCGGTACTGGTATTGCCAATCTCTGTATCGGTATCGAGTATCGTTTAGCTCGATACAGGATCTTGGTATCGGTCTTGAAAGTATAGAAATTCGGACCTTATATCGAAAAGTATCGAACGTTTCGAGTCACCGACTCATCAGAGAATATTATACAGTATACAATGTAGATAGAGATAAATTGACGTTACATTCAAACTGTACATATAAGGAAAGATAGAAGCAATATATCTATGCAACTTTGTCATATGTGCCCTCCATTACAGGATAAGAACATCAAAATTAAAAACATATGTATGATAACTGTCAAAATAAAATGATAAAAGAACACGTAAAAAAAAGAAAGAAGAATATTATTTTTTCTTTCTTACTTTAGAAATTTTCTTTAAAATCTCTTTAGGATATATAAAAAGTGGCACCAACCTATTAGTGGCGTTAAACTGAGGAAGATTTTCTCTTATAGCCAAAGATTCCCGTACTAGTAATCTGTAGTTTCGATTATTATGAGCCAATGTATTTATTTGATCATAGGCTAAACTATTCATTTTTATTAAGTTATTTTGTTGAGCCAAATTGCAATCCAAATCGTAGAGACGAACGTGATCATAGATTTCTCGAATATTTATACTGTCTATTCCATCCGACACCTAATGGTTGAATCATTGAAGTGATCTTTTCAGAAATTTCAAGTCTATTTAAACGAGTTATTTTCCCATACATCACTTATAGAATGTGTAACTTACAAATATTTCTTATATTATCCGCCTGAAACAGACTTTTTTTTTATATAAGCTTTATTCTGTCAGAATACAAGCGGAAGAATATTCCATTGTAGTATTCTAAACTAAAACTATCGAAAAACACAAAATCAATTTTTGTACGAATAGAGATTCGAACATGTGAACTTAGCTTTGTAGTAAACTACAAAACTAAATTCACCGTTCTGTGTCTATATTCTGTACAACGATTGAAGTTGTGCAATTGACTCGATGTTATCAGTAGTCATTTTTTTGGTATGGTTTTTGTGTTCTTTTTTTGAAACAGACTTACTTTAATACTTTCACTCATATGTCCATTTGGTTATTTAAGACACAGAAACAAAGGGCCAACCAAAGTACCAACCACTGAAATTAGCGGCTGCACCGTGCAACTATGAGTTGTGTCATGAAGTGAACGGACTTTAGCAAGTGTTAGTTTTCCACCTTCAAATGACAGTGTAAGATTTGAGTACATTTCTAACTCTAACGAGAGAACGTTTTTAGGTGTCCCCTCGCTTTTTCAAACGAAACCTAGCGATTTGTATGTTATCGACTATGCTGATTCTGAATATGATAGCCATTTTTGCCCAATAGGCATTTTCTAGCCGGTCTCTGGAAAACTGGTTTTCCAGAAACCTCGAAAAAACCCCAAAACTTTTCTAAATAAGTCACAATTTTAGCCCGCAAAATTCGGATCGAAATGAGACATCTCCCAGCTCTACGTGATCTTTCTTTCCAAAGTTATAGAATTTACAAGAAAACCCCTAAATTTCTTTTTTCTTGTTCTTTCTGTAGCTGTACGAACATTTCAAGTTCGTAAGCCAGACTGATCAGTATTAAACACATGATAAGGTTTGTAATTTGGATTCATCTTCTGTACGTCAGAAACAAAATTATCAGCCGATTGATTGATTGCCTCTACATTTTCAACTTTCGCTTCGTTACTAGTTTTGTCACATGTACACTACGAATTCCACCATGATGCTTAAGCAGGCGAATCCAATGTTTACTGGAATATCCAGAAAAAGTGTATTATAAATTATTATAACTCTGTTTCTAAGCCTTCTTCCTCGCTTGAGCTCTACATATTTCATTCAGTTGCATGATGCATAGGAACAAGGCGAAGCTGTGTCGAAGATCGAGCGGAAGAGAATCAGACAACGAAAGCCTCGAGTCACGCGGTTCGGGAAGCCGTCAAAACTATGAACGAATCTTTCGGATCATCCGTAGAATAATGTAAATGGCTTCTCTGTGATGTTTGTATAAGAGAGAAAATATATAAAATCTATCTTTTCTTCTCCATTTTATTCATCTTTTCCATAGATTAATTTTTATTAACTCTCCTTGGCCTTATCAATTGCTAATATGTAAAACTGATTTGCGAGTCATAGCATATGGCCAAAGCAGGTATGTGACACGGAGGAAATTAAAGTCTTAAATTATGATATTCGTGATCGGCATGTGAAATTGTGCTATTCATATGATTGTCGGCTTGATTCTGCAGAAAAAAGCATCCGTCGAAATTTAGCAGAAATGCTTGAGGGGACCCTAAAGTGGAAATTTCAATAGAAACATTTTATATTAGAATCAAGCTGACAATCATACGAAAGCACAATTTCACATGCCGATCATGAATATCATAATTTAAAGCTTTAATTTCCTCCGTGTCACATACCTGCTCTGGCCATATGAGAGAAAAGCTATCGAAATAAGAGCTTAGTTTTTTGTATATTTTCATGTGTTCAAAAGAACAGTGATGCTGAAAGAT